TAGAAAAGTCCGGCTCTAATCAACGAAAATTGATGTTTTTTTTTATTGAAGTACCCAGTTGCAGAGGTTATAAATATTCACTTAGTTAATTTGTGAATGGTTTATTTAACTGAGTAATTTGTTTGAAAAATTTAAAATAAATGTTCATTTTCCAAAATGTTACTTTCGTCTTATTTTTATTAGAAGAAAATATTATGAAATGATATGTTACTTAAATAGTTATGTATTATGATTATAAATAATATCTTTTAACAATAATTTTGTGAAAAAAATATTTTTTTATTTAAAAATCAAATATTATTTTACTATTACTATTTTACTATTACTTTTCTCGACTCAAAAACATCAAAAATGTTTTAAACAAATTTATTGTTATAAACTTTAAATAAAGATAAACAAAACTTAATTTTACTATTGTTATTTATCATTAGCCAAAGTTAATTTGTTTCAAATATATTTGTAATGTTTTTGCGTTTAAAAAAGTAATTGTAAAAATAATAAGTATAATAATTCAAGAAAAATTAACAACTAAAGGTTGATTCTTAAATAAATAATTAATATTTTTTGTAAAATTTATTGTTAAAAGAAAATCACTGGCAATTTCATTGCAAACAGTACCTCTATATTGACCAACGTTTTTTGTAAATTATGTATTGCGTTGAATTCTGGCGTGGAAATATAACATTAATATGATGTTTTTTCTTCTGATGCATAGACGTACGTGATAGTTGTACCATCTCTTTCCATTTTTACCATATATTCCTTTAAAAGCTCTCCCTTCTTCCTTCACTTTTAATATCTTAGCTGATTCAATTTCCTTATGAGTTCTTCCCTGACATCACAAATGATTGATTTTATTCTATTGCTAATTAATCCAAGCTCTTTTATCCTCTTTCTTTTCAAGTTCAGTCAACTCATAATCATTTCGGTTCCAAGGCTTTTATTTTGCAAGTATTTGCAAGTAGGTATAGTTTATTTCACGAAAAATGGTTGAGTGCTTAATGATTGCAATAAAACCCGACCTCAAGTACCCTAGCTTAGTCAACATTAGTTGATCAGATAAGTTTTCAGGTAAAATTGAAGCTACTGTGGAGTGTCGTTATCTTGTTTGTATCATAAATTCCTGGTAATATAAATACGATTAAAAAATCGTATAAAATTATAAAAGTGATTAGAATACATTTTATTTCATAAAGTTGTAAACATTTTAACAGTGAGTTTCACTATCAATGGTTGATCTTTTAATGGCCACAATAAATTTGTTGATCGTTAAGTAATTCCTGAAATAATTATACAGGTTCCCTCTATTCTGTATAATTTCTAAAAGTATATAAAACCGATGATATACCTTTCTGAATTTAGATCCATATACTACAATTATTCACGTAGAACAAAAAAACTGTGTACTTCGGTAGTTTATTGAGAGACTCTTGTATACACAATAGGATCAACTCAGGTAACCATTAAGCACTCAACCATTTTTCGTGAAACAAACTTTACTGATATTTGATTAAGCTCCTGACTATGTGTAACTGATTTTGCTGTAGGTAATATTTCCATTTCTATAACACTTGACATTAAATTTATCTATGTATATATCTACTAATTAATGTTGCCTTCTCTGTCCCTTTTGTATTACATTTTGACGTTTAGCGATAATTATTTCGCTCTCCGTATTTAATCCTCATCGTAATATTAAATTTACGACATTTTAACTTTACTTGTATTGTTAAGCTAACTATTGAATAAAATTATACGACATAGATGATAAACAGCCACGCTTGTATGTTAAATGTAACTAGTTTTTGTAATTACCAAAAGTTGCATGTTACTTTATAATCATTAGTCATTATTTTTTACATCCTCTTTAACGTATGTAATAAAACACGTAGCCCACTAATAAAAAATCATGTCTCACCTTCAAAGTCTATCACGCAATGAATATTAGTTAAAGAGGATATTTTTGATATTAAAAAGTAGTTACTGTTTGTAGATATTTGGGAAATGTACGATTTTCCTACAAGTTTTATTATAAATATTTAAGAGCTGTTCAGTCAGCTTTTATGAAAATTGTATAGCATTACAAATATTTTTTTTTTAATATGTAGCCCTTAAGTATAACCATTTAATAAACAACGTGACATCGGCAACATCAACGTGGCCACTTAAAAAAAGGGAAATATAACTGGTACATCGTGTGGTGAATTATCAAGGTGATAGGAAACTCAACGGGAAATTCTACACTGTTGAATTCCTGCTTCCCCTTATTATTTTACATTAAATGTCAGGAGATACTATGTGTAGACGACGGAAACTTCCATTGGAAACAAATGTTAAAATTGTTCTACGATTTAAATACATTTCAAAATTTTGCTGCCATAGTATTGTTGTTAAAGTTAGGCCACACGTAGTGCAGAGTATGTATAACGGTTGCGTTCAGTAACAATGAAGTTAAACATTATATTTGAATATTTGAATTGTCAATATTTTTATTTTGTGATAAGTACAGTTGTTAGAGACAATCGTATATCTCTCCAATACACAAGAAAGGCACAAAGACGGATCCTAAAAACTATAGAGGAATCGCAGTGATTGCTACTAAGAGACCGACTATACTTAAAAGTACTACGAAACTACGAAACCTGATATAAAATGATATTAAAGACAAACAACCCGAAGAACAAGCAGGATTTAGGACCGGACGCTCCACTATTGATAATATTTTTACATTAAAAATTGCAATGGAAAAACTAGTGCAGAGAAATAGAGAAACCCATATAGCTTTAATAGATTTGGAAAAAGCATATGACAGTGTGTCGATCTCCCAACTATGGATAGAAATGGGTAACTTAAAAATAAACCCAATTCTTATTAAGGCCACTCAAAAATATTACGAACAAAACATTGCAAGAATTAAAATTGGACAAGAAATCACCTCACCTTTTCAAACAATAAAGGGACTAAGACAAGGCTGCTGTCTGTCACCCACTTTATTTAAAATCTATTTGGACAGATCCTTAGTAAAATGGGTAAAAAAATGTGGAAACATGGGAATAACGGTGGAAGAAAACACGCTATACACACTTTTCTTTGCGGATGACCAGGTAGTAGTTGCCGAAGACAGCTACGATCTTAGCTATATGGTAAGAAAACTGCAAGAAGAATATGAGGTGGCAGGTTAAACATGAATATGACAAAATGTGAATAACAACTACCAGCTATACTGAAATCGCACTGACTCACAGACCATCCAGTGAAATATATTGTAGACTGTATGTCATAGTAATAATTTCGTAACTTGAAAAACAACTCTTATTGATTTGGCGATAACTAACAACAATAATCTACATATTAAATACAACAAGAAGATCGTCTAGTACAAAGATCTTAAGTACAAACAAGGAGATAATTCAAAATGGAAAGTACCCAGACCATAACTATAACCGTCTCTACTACTGGTGTTATTTTTGACACTGGTGAAAATTTTTGAGAGATACTCCAGCATACCATGGTAAAGGGTTTGAAGTGGAAAGAAATGGTGGACTGATTAATACTATTCAATATGTTAACGCCACTGTCATTGTGTTCTTCTTCTTCTTTTTATATAGACATGACTCTATCTGTTTTCAATGTTGCTCCAGTAAGTTGTCGTTCCATCGTTTTCGTGGTCTTCCTACTGATCGTTTTTCTATTGGGGAACCGTCTTTTGCCGTCTTTACTACTCTATTTGTTGTCATTCGGCTTATATAATCGTTTCATTCTACTCTTCTATTTCTTATCCAGTTCTTGATGTTCTCCACCCTACATCTACGTCGTAGATCTGTACTTCTAGCTCTGTCCCATAGTATCTTACCATCAATTTTATATGTGTTTTTACCTCTGCGGATTCTGACATCCTTTTTGCTCTCTCAGGTCTTGCTTTGTGTCAGGTCTTGTTTCTGCCGAGTATGTCATTATTGGTCTGATGACTGTTTTGTAAATTCTGCCTTTCGTTTCTTTCCTGATATTTTTATTTCTCCATATTGTTTCGTTCAGGCAGCCTGCGGCTCTGTTTGCTCCATTCACTTGATCTTCCACTTTAGTTTCGAGCTTTCTGTAGCTAGATAATGTGATACCTAGATATTTAAACTCCATTACCTGTTCTATTATCTGACCTTCCAATTCCAATTTCATCATCATCACGTAATGCTACAACCCTGGGTGGGTCTTGGTTGACTGTACAACTTTTTTCCAATTTGTTCGGTCTTCCATCAACCTAGGGCCAAATGGAATGTTCATTTTCCGGAGATCTGATTGGATGTTATCTCTCCATCGCATTCTGGGACGTACGAGTGGTCTTTTGCCTGTGGGAATTTCCTCCCATACCAGTTTTACAAGTCTCTCGTTATGTTGTTTGTGCACCTGGCCTGCCTATCTTAGTCGCTGTGATTTAATTTCTTGGACAATATCGGCGTCATTGTAGAGTGCTTTAAATTTTAATGTCTTTTGTCTACGTAAAGAGTGCAACAGCAGGTGTTTTTTAAGGGTAAACTGTGGATGTATTGTCGGAGTAAAAGGTTATTCCTCGTCGTCCGATGTTAACATTGTCCAATAGCTTGCAGTAAGCTTGGATTTGCTTCTTGTTTTTAACGTGCTCCATCCTTAAGGACATTGGCGATCATCATGGCCCATTTGACTCTATCTGCAGCCATTCTGAAAAGTTCTATTGACGTTTTCCCACTCCATTGTCTCAGATATTTCAACCAGGACGTGCGTCCTCTCGCGATCCTTTTTTGTTGTGGATTTGCAGTTCACCTAATTCATAATCAAAATGAAGTCTCCTTACTTCTTGTTGCTTCATAGAAAGATCGCTACTAGCGTATTTAGGCATGTTATGTTACTATATTGGAAATATAGATAAAGATCATTTTGTTTCGGTTTGAGCTAGATATATATGTATATATGAGCTCTATATGTTTAAATGTATTTCATTTATAATTTATTTACCATTTTTGTTGCAGGTTATAAAAAAATTATTGATGGAGTCTCAGGAAAATTTCATTCTGGACACCTTACAGCCATTATGGGTCCCTCAGGAGCTGGGAAAACCTCTTTACTTAATATTCTAACAGGATATCAGTAAGTATAAACCTACGTAATGATTTGATATTAAATAAAATTTTATATAGAGTAGTAAAATACAAATACAGTATTTAAACTACCTAAACGAAGATTTCATAATTAAAAATCGTTGGAAGATACAAATAATTTAAAAAACAGATAAAAAAATGATTAAAGAAGAAAAAAGAAAATTTAGGTATTGACTTAATAGCCTACAACGTTGAAGATGAAATAGCCTAGTCTGTTTATTCAAAAATCATCGATTTTCACAGATATATGAAGCTTTTCAAGATATAGGTGGGGGTTACTAGATGACGATTAGATGAAAAGGTACTCGTATTTTTACCTTGCGTTTTTTTTAAACAATAATTTATGATCACAATTTGCTTTTTTATTTATATAAGTTTTTTTCCTTATATTTTACATAAACAATATTTATATCATTTTTTATATCAAGAATATCTTTATTTTCCCGTTTTTTTATTAAAATTGATAAGGAATTTACAGAGATATTTGCAAAAAAGCAGTTTTTCTGCAGTAATTTAAAAATTTTATTAATGTTTTTAATAACAAAATAAAATATTATTATTACATTTGAACATCGATGAAATATAAATAACTACATAGTTTTCACTGGCCAGGAAATATGGGAAACCTCGAAAAAATTGAGTCCATTTATGATTCACCGTAAAAACTTACTTTTTTATAATTTTCCCCGCCCCCCTCTGGAAATCTCGGAAAATCCCAGAAAATCAACATATTATTTTTTTTTCATTTTATATATATACATATACATATATATATATATATATATATATATATATATATATATATACATATACATATATATATATATATATATATATATATATATATAATATATATATATATCATCATCATCATCATCATCATCATCATCATGTGCAGCTTTGTCGACCGTTTCCAATTACGGTGCAGCCTCCCTTATTTCAATGTTATTCTATGTTCTTATTAGTATTCGACGATGTCTTAATTATTCGTTGTTCTTGTAATTTGCGCTCATTTGCGTCCATATTTTTCTATCTTGTGCTATTCGAGACCACGTTGTTCCTGTTAATTTTCTTATATCATAATCCCATCTGAAATTCGGGCGCCTCTTTGGTCTCTTAGCGTTCCTGGGATACCACATAGTTGTTCTAGTGGTCCATCTGTTGTCTGTTTGTCTTGCTATATGTCCTGCCCTATAGACCGATCAGCTTGCTGCCTGTGATATACAAGGTATTCACCAAAATCATTAACAACAGAATACAGAACACACTTGACGCTGCACAACCCCGAGAGCAAGCAGGCTTTAGAAGTGGCTTCAGCACAATGGATCATATTCAAACATTAAGAGAAATAATGAGCAGAACAAAAGAATATGATCTACCACTAGCGCTAGCATTTATAGACTTCGAGAAGGCATTTGACTCCGTATACCCAAGAGCAGTCATAGAAGCTCTTGTCGACCAAAGAGTAGATAAACCATATGTCGAAACGCTAGCAAATATATACAAAGAGGCCACAGCTAGAGTAAGCATATATAAAAATACCCCAGAATTTCCCACTCAGAAGGGAGTCCGACAAGGAGACACCATATACCCTAAGCTCTTCACTGCAACCTTAGAAAATATCTTCCGGAAATTAGACTGGAACAACCAAGGTCTATGTATAGATGGAGAATACATAAACCATCTTAGATTCGCTGATGACATCATTCTAATTGCTAGAAGTCCTGAAGAATTACAACTACAAATTAATGACCTTAATACAGCCAGCAATGAGGTAGGCCTAAAAATGAACCTAGCAAAGACTAAAATAATGTGCAATGATCTGATCGCCAACGTGGAAATAAAAATTAATGAAACCTCGCTAGAAGTAGTAAACGAATACATATACCTGGGACAGCTCATACATAAATCGGGATCACTACTTCCGGAAATCAACAGACGAATAAAACAAGCGTGGTCAGCATTCGGACGAAACTCCATAGTCTTCAAGTCCAAAATGCCACTATACCCCAAGAAGAGAGTATTTGATCAATACATATTACCCGTATTGACGTATGGATGTGAAACTTGGATATTAAAGAGAGAAATAACGTCGAAACTCCAAGTAACTCAAAGAGCAATGGAAAGATGTATGCTAGGGATAACAAAGAGGGATCGTAAAAAAATTGAATGGATACGGAATCAAACCCAGGTGACTGATGTAATCCAAAGAATAAAATCCCTGATATATATATATATATATATATATATATATATATATATATATATATATATATATATACATATACATATATAAGGATCACTCAGACGAGTGGTGGGTTCTTATATCGGTCTCTAGGTGGAGAAATAAAAGACAAAGTTGATAGGCTACTTTATCTATTTTGAAGACGTTTCGCTTTCGAGTTTTGAAAGCATCATCAGTTCATCTAAAAAATTATTACAATATGAGAACCACACAATCATGGAAACGATGTTAATTGTTACCTTAAAAAGATATGTAGCAGTCAATGTTATTAACAAATATGTAAATGAAACTAAGTAAATGGACATAGTACGCTGATCTTGTATAAACAGTTAAGCAACTAACAACATATATGAACTTGTACAAAAATTAGCACAGCAATTGACCATGTGGTCCAAAATAAATTCAATGTTATTTAATGTTAATAAGTGAGAAAGAACCAAGAAAATCATAAATAACCTCCAACTATTTAATGGATATTAAACTTTGATTTTAACTTTAGGTAGCATTATAAGTAATATTAATAAAATTCTAAAAAATAGTGAATATGAAGTTACCGATCAAAGCCCTATGGATGTCGCCGTGAAAATGGCGTTAGATGAAACAGGAACGAACTAAACCGCAAAAAGACAGCCAACCTTGAGGTCAAAATTACTTTTGACAGATCAACAAGGTGTAAATACCAACCCAAAATTTTGGGCGGTTAATTTAATTTTAACTGAGTCTGGATGACTACCAGGTTGTAAAGGACACAACAGTGAAAAAAGTTGGTAGTGTAAACACAACTCCCCTCACTAACCAGCCCAAATTTACAAACCGGAGATTTTCATTCAAACTCATAATAATGTAATGACGTTAATCATTGTGGCAAGTTAAATAGCCAGGTGGTTAACGATATTATAATTTCCAAACAGCCCAAGGTTCAATATACTTGGAGCTGTGATTTGTAAAGGATTCTATGAATCAATTACAATGTTTGTATTATTTTATATATAATTTGAAACACTAATCAAAGAATTTAGTGTAATGAAATGCAATATGGGTTGCATATGTAATAGTAAAATTAAGTAAAGAAATTAAGTTATTTAATTGATATATTTATTTATTTTATTTCTATTTATGTATATAAATTGTTTTATGAAAAGTGGAAAAAAGTTCAACTAGTACACCTAATATGACATTAATGTAGTGAAAAGATTAAGTAGCCTAATTCTGCAAAATTAAAGCATGATATATCTGGCTCAAGTTACTTATGTCAGTTCTTTTATTCAATGCATTAGGATGTTTTAATATTGAACACATTTCCAAAAACTGTCTTTTAGCTAGATTGCGTTCAGTGGCAAGAATCTTAACTTCATTAAAATCCACTTCATGTTTTGTATTTATCGCATGTTGTGCTAGAGCACAAGTGTGTTTCGATAAGTTAATGTCGCTACGATGTGAAGTGAGACGACCTTTCAATGATCTACCAGATTGCCCAATGTAACATAGATCGCAATTAGCGCATGGAATTTTATAAATTGTGTTCACTTGTTCCAAAGTGGACACGGGTGTTTTAGTTTTAGAGAACAAATTTCTAACAGTTTTTGCATTCTTAACAGCAATTTTAACAGGTATATTATTTTGTTTATACAATTTAATAAGCTTCTCAGTAACTTGAGGGAAATATGGTAAGGAAGAGTAATGCGTGATAGTATTCTCAAGATCGGTATTATGCAGAACAGTGCTATTTATAGAATTATTAGAGATGTTTCTAAGTTGGTCACCATCGGGTATGTCATAAGTTGAGGATCCATAACTATGCGAATAAAGGTATTTATTGATGATAGAGGAAGGATATGAATTCTCTATTAGAATATTTCTCAATAACTTAAAGGATTCCCTTCGATTAATTGGATGTGTCAATTTATTTAATCTAAAGCTTAAAGCTTTTATAAGGTTTAGTTTGTATTTCATAGGATGACAGGAATGGTAGTTAAGGAACCTATTAGAGGCCATTGATTTTCTATACCAACTTGTGGTTAGGGTGTTGTCTCCCATTCTGATGACACGCATGTCAAGGAAGGGTATACTATTGGTGGTAGTGTCCTCAAGTTCAACAGTGAACTGTAAATGAGGATCAAACTCATTAAAGTGGGATAGGGTACCCTGAACCTTGTCAGGTGGTAGGGCTAATAATAAATCATCCACATACCTTTTAATAAAAGGGATTTGAAAATCCAAAAGACCCAAACGGTCAGAAACCAAATCATCCAATACAAAGTTAACTAGGATGGGAGAGATTGAGGAACCCATAGGTGTACCAAATGTTTGAAGGTAAAATTTGTCATCAAAGACTAAAAAATTAGTGTCAAACACAAGTTGTAACAGTTCTGCAAATATATCCCAAGACACCGGGCAGTTAGGTTTGATAGAATTCCAATGGTTTTTTAAGGAAGTAATTACACTGGACAAAGGTAAGTTAGTGAAAAGAGATACCACATCAAAACTTACTAAAATGTACCCTTGAGGTAGTTGAAAATTGTTAATAAATTCACTAAAGTTGAAAGAATCAACAATGTTGAAATCATTGTTGTAATTATATGATTTAGACAAGATGTCTGTTAGAAATTTAGCTATTTTAATATTAGGTGAGTTAATAGATGACACAATAGGTCTCATGCTCAACGTAGGTTTATGTATTTTTGGTAAACAGTAGAATCTTGGAGCATATCCATCATAATTATGTAAAGACTTAGCTAAAGGTT